TATCTGCCAGCGGATCCTAGCACAGTGCCCCGTTTCATCCAAAACGGGGAGGTGAAGGCAGAGACGACACTTGTGATAGGGAAGCTGTTCACAACTCCGCTGTACCTGTCCTGCCAAACAGTAGTTCTGCTCTGGGAGTATCTGCCCGTGCCTCGCATTTCTTAGGAAAGCAGTTTAATTTTTTTTTTTTTTTTTTTTTTTTTTTGGAGGGAGGGTGGGGGTGGTGGTGATAGTGGTGACAAGTCTCTAATAACTAAGCAACTTGTTACTTTTTAAAATTATTATATTTTTTTTTTTCCTTGCAAGCGTGCCATTAACTCTCCCTTAATCCTCACTTTCTTCCCCTCCTTTTATGGGACCGTTATGAAAAAAAAAAAAGCCCAGAAAACAATCACAGCGAATAAGGCTAGACAGTTTGGGTGCTCAGGGACGGGATTAGCCAGAGCAAGGGGAAAGGTGCCCCCTCTGATTCGTGCAGCAACCGTATGAATGCATGGCACCCCATCTGGTGGAGTCTCCCCCTGTCCCTCCCATCCTGTTTCAGATACAGCTAAATACCAATTATCCTTTGAAACCTTGAAAATAGGTCCAGGTTGCAGTAGTTCTGAGACTGTCAGAGCTGTCTGTTTGGGTGGCTCCTCATCGGTTACTTTAAAATCTGATTTTCAGTTTAATGCAGGGAAAAATACACTCCCCCTCCCCTTAAGCCAACTAGGGAATGCATCTCTGAAACAGATGTCATGTAAAAAACCCCACAAACCTAGAAATAATTAATAAGAGCAACCTGTGGTTCTCTGAGAAGGCCTAGAGCAGGATAAGCCTGAAGGAAATCGCTTCTTAGATTATAACTCTGTGTTTGGCCTAACAGAACCAAACCAAACCAAAAGCCAAGAAGAAAAAGTTACCAGGCCAACCCCTCCACTCAGCAAAACACCTTCACACCCTGGAGATCAGAGCTGCGCATGCATACATACGTCCATCTATGCATGTGCACAAGTGGGAACATGTAGGTGTGTGTGTGGCTATGTGGGCATAGGTGGACATCTCCGTGCCTTCCTCCACAGCGAGAAGACAAGAAATACAGCCCCGAGCTGCAGTGGGGAGAAGGGGTCGCCTTGTCCCCATCCTCAAACTTGACCCCCTGGGGAAAGCAAACAGGCAGGTTCCGGGACCCTTTGCCTGAATAAGCGACTATCTCGCTTTAAACAACTGCCTCCTGGAGGCATTTCCCGAAATAAATGGAGGAGCTAGGTTGTTTTGTTTTGTTTTTTTAAAGGCTCTTTTCTCCCCTCGGCTCCTGCCTCTCTCAGTATAAACCGAGCTGGGCGAGGAACGGTGCAGGGTACATGCCTTAGGAAGGGTGGCTTGCAGGGGATATTGCAGGGGTTCAGACTGCTGCTGGCCTACTTTCTCCTGGAAGATTGATCTAACCACACCATATAAATTAATGAAAAGATTAAACTTTTGCTGAAGGGGACATCAACTCTTGTGTCATCTTCCCAGATCTTCTTACTTGGGCTCTGTAATATCTTTCCAAGGCCTTGATGTACTGTTTCTATAAAAATAAATTACTTGTAATTGAATTCTGCACTCTTTCTTTCAAGTACTTTATTACTGAGCAGCACCTTAACAGGATGTTCATAGTTACAGGAAAATTGGTGCTTCAACTGCTTACAGATCTTAAAACAGCACATCAAAAAAAAAAAAAAAAGAAAAAAAAGAAAAAAAAAGAAAAAAGTGATACTGATTCAGGAGGAGGTTATGAGAGAGATTTAAAAAATAATAATCGTAATAATCTTACAAAAGAAGCTAGAAATAAAAGAAATATCAAGAAGCAATAGAGGAGAAATTGATAATCAATTAGGAAATAAGCAGAGAGCTTGATATCCAACAAGAAATTGAAGTGTAAAAAAAAAAGGAGAAAGGAGGGAAAGGGAAAGGTTTTATTTTAATACTTTTAGAAATGTTCTTTAATTCCTATGTGAGCCGCTTGTCCCTTGCTGTTAAAGGATATAGTTTCAATTTAGAGTGGAAATTTGCTGTAAATAAATTGAAGCTCCTATGGTAGCTAGTCCTTATTAACCTTTTATTTTTAGTGTTGTACTGGAAACTCATATCACCCAGCTGTCAGGGTTATAATTGAAAGTTATGAGACCATAGTGAGGAGCAGGCAGTAATTCAATTACAACAAATATCTTTGGGTTTATGGTGCAGGGCTAAATTAAATGTCATTATTCACTGTCTCTAATGGAAATCAAAAGGAAATCAGATTAGAGCATTTGTGAAAGAAATCACTGAGTGATCCTTAATGAAGAAATAACTGTCTAAAACAGTGTACTGTGCTTTACTTAGCATATTCATGACTAATTGGAATTGATCGTGAATCACACCAAGCCTGATTTATTATCGCTTGACGCAGTGGCTAATTCATCACTTTTATTCCTCATAACCTTATTTTTTCATAGCTAAAGGGAAAGGGCACTTCGTTTTCCAGATATAAATATAATTTCTGTTTGAAAGATGTTCTGATTTGCAAGAGAAGTTGTTTAAACGCCGCTTAAATTCCTCCTGACAATTTATACTCCTGGGGTGGGGGGGTGGGTCGGGCGTGAGGAACACACACAAGATTTCCTGCAACGATTTACAACCGTAAAAAAAAAAAGTATTATTGTGACTACAGCACAATGATATTTTGCATGCTCATATTTTAAAAAAATATAAATCCCTAACGGCCCGGTTAAAAGGAGAAGCGTTCCATGTTGTTAATATTCGTATATTACTCGTAGTGAAAAAACAGGCTTGTGCCGTGCTGTGCATCTCAGGGCAGCGAGGCGGCAGCGGTGCCCGGTGAGCGCAGGGAGGGCTGCGCTAGCGACAATCCGGCGGGGAACACAAGCGGTCGAGTCCGTCGGTCGGTCCGCAACGGCAGCGCCCCGCAACAGCCCGCCCTCTGTGCGCTTCCCCCTGGCCACCGTAGGCAGGAAAAATGGTACTCCAAAGGAGAGAAGGCCAATTCCTACTTAAGAAAATCACTGAGGTACCCGAGGTAATTAATGCCTTTGGAAGCCTTTCTTTGCACTAATTACTCCGTTGTAAATGACCATCATTAAGGCAATTGAAGAAAGCTAGAAGGGAAAATTTGATGTAGGAAGTGCAGTTAGTATTAATTAACCGTATGATCTCTTGGCAAGTGTGAGAACATCAAAGGTTGTAGGTGTTTGCTTAGCTACCAGATTTTATCAGCAGTGAAAGTCAATGTTTGTACGTATTCGGTAGGTTTTGGTGTAAGGATAAGGGTCTGCAAAACATTTTCGTCCGTGCCTCTGACGATCCTTTGGGGAGAGCTGCTAAACCAAGCACTTCGGAAGGGAGACAGTAATGAAGGTCTGAAACGCCCCTGGAAAAGAGGCAGGGGAGGCACAGGGGCAACTGCAAGTTGTGCGCTTGTTTGAGTCAAAACGGCTGTAATTAGGGTAGGATTATTGGATTACAGGCATTTCTCGGGCAGGGGCAAGAGCATTTATGTACACCCCAGACTGCAAAGATGTTGAGCTTTTCTGCCCAGAAGCCTACAGAAGTGGGTTGTGTTTTCTTTTAACTTTTGGGTACCGGGGAATGCTTCAGGACGTTTGTGCAAGTTCAGTATCTCACATCTTCTCTGAGGTCTTAATCGCTTCCAAACCCAGCTCGGGAGAGGCAGACGCCCCTGCCGTTTAGGGGTCAGACCCCAGGGTCTGACCTGGCCCATGCTGACTGTTCCCGGGATGTCCGAGATGTGACTGGAAAGCGAGCGAGGGTCCCACTCGACCTGCGTGTGGGCTTATTTTAAGTGATAGTGGGAGCGTCCCCTCGGTCCACACATGTGGCACAAGAACCGCCGCTGCCAGCCCGGGTGACATGGGGGGTCTCGGAGACCCGGTGTGAAGCGTCCAGCTCTCGGTCTCCCCGGCTGAGAGGGAGCTTCTTAATTTCCCAACGGTCAGAGCCCGCTGAGAAACCCCACTAAAGATCAGGATCCCGCCAAAAGACCCCCCCTCCACAGCACAAAAAGAGCTCACTCCGCCTGGGGCTGAGCTCTCCCCCTCGGCTGCTCCATAGGAGAGATCTCAGCAAAGTTGTGCGGAGTCCCTCGCCTCTCCTCTCCATCTCTAACCCCCAAAATAATCTTCTCTTAGCAGCTGCCTAGTCTACCTCCATTTTTGTTCTTGTGGGTTTTTTTGTTTTTGTTTGCTTTTTCTTTTCACAGGTCTGGTTCCAGAACAGGAGAGCAAAGTGCCGAAAGCAGGAAAATCAGATGCACAAAGGTGGGTAAGGAATGCGGGCCGGCCGGGGGCGGTGGCCGCGGAGCCCCGGGGCTCCTTCGCTGCTCACTCGGCCCTGTCTCT